TCACACTCCCTGGAGAGAACTTCTCATGATCATCTATTGTATTTCTGTGGCTCTTGACTGTGCATTTACAGTCACACACATTTCGTGTCTCTCTCTCTCTCTCTCTCTTTTTTTTTTTACACAAATGGAATCATATTGTGTTGCAGCTCGTTTTATTTCACTTAACAGTTATGGCCTTGGCCGTTTTCCAGCAGGATCCAGGCTGGGACAGAGAGAAACAGAAGGGCTGCGGGAGCCCTGGAAAACAAGCGCTGGGCGTGTGTGTGTGTGTGTGTGTGTGTGTGTGTGTGTGTGTGTCTGTGTTGGGGGACAGGAAGGAGTCCCAGGGTAGATGGGGAACCTGGCCGAGAAGCTCCCAGAGCACTGTGATATCTAGACTTGAGCTCTCCGAGGCAGGAGCCACACCAACTTGTCCACATACCTGCTCAGAGCCCTGCACATAGTAGGTGCTCAAGAAACATTTGTACAATGAATTGAGTCACGGCCAAGCCCATCTTTCTTGTCCTGGCAAAGACTACCTGGCCTCCATGCCTGTACTTTCAATCTCTTGTTGGGTGTTTATTTTAACTCATGCTCAAATGGCATTGACCCCAAATGGAGATGGGGGCAGAGCTCAGGGAGAGGGAGAAGACCCTCCCCTTAGACAAGTCACTGTCCCTTTCTGCTGTCAGTTTGCTCACCTCCCTAATGAGGGGGCTGGACCAGCAGATCTCCAGGGGTCCTTCCAGCTCTGCTGTCTGTGGCTTCAATCCCACTCCCTCATTTCACGGATGAGGGGCTGAGTCGAGTTTAATTTTGTCAGCTGCCTCAGAAATCCATTGGGAAAAGGGAGGATTGAGTTTGAGGATGCAGAAAAGGCTGTTGCTATATACTGAGCACCAACTGTGTGCCAGGGCCTGAGCTGAGAGCTGTCTGTAAAGTGCTCTGTCTGAATCCTTAGGACGTTTTCCTAGACTCAGAGAGGGTGAGTAACTTGCCCAAGGTCACCCCAGGACTGAGCTGAGGGTGGATCTCAGGTCTGCCTGATCCCAAATGGGGAACTCTTCCAAACTCGGTCCTCTGTGAACCAAAATCAATAAAAGAGATAGTATGCGGCTGGACCAAACCGTTCTCAGAAAACTTCAGGGGCCTCTCCCTCATTATTTCTCAGACAGCCTGACTTCTGTGTCTAAGTCCTGGGGCTACATGACTGGAATTTGGGCCAGGAAAGTAGTTGACTTGCAGGATTGGCTGGCGAGGGCTTGGGTACAAGAGACTGCTGATGGGTTTTGTGGCCCCAAGCCCAAACCTCTCCCTACCCTCTCCTCCTAGGGGCTGGGATGGGCCCATCTCCCATCTCCATTATTCATTCCTTGCCCCCCACTCCCCACCCCCACCTGGTGTTGAACTCCTGGGGTTGGCGTCTAGACAGACAAGAGCATCCTACTGAGAACAGAAGCAGCCCTGACTGGGGCTGAAGGTTCCCATGGCAACTGCATCCCCTCAGCTGGCAGCTACCCGATAAATAAATAATTAGGGTGGGGGTGGGGAGCTAAGGGCAGGGGGAGGGGCAGCAGGGGAGCCTCTTGGAGGATTCACTCAGGAAAGAGGAAGGTGGG